GCGACAGGAGGACGACAAGAAAAGAAATAAGAAGAGGATGAAGAGTAGTAGAAGACGAAGAGAGTGTGAGAAAGAAAGAAAATCGTTCGGGCGTTGGTATTCAACACAACATTACCATCATCATCATCATCGTTCGTTGCAATAGTTGGTTGTTGATGAAATGGGAGTCCGCAGGCGAGCTACCCATCCGGCCTAAATCATCTTTCATGCATTATTTTCTTTTTTTTCTACTGATTTCTTCTTTTGCTGAAAAAAAATATATACTAATGATGATATTTGAATGGGTCAGACCATATCTCACTTAGAATATTAGCAAAAATACGAACCTATCAAATGTCAACTCAATTAGATCATACATATTTTATCAATCGAAAGAAAACGAACAGATGACTTATGCTATTGCAGACGAGACATAATATATGTGTTATCGGGTCAGATGTTGATGTGACTTATTGAGACATAGATATGTGTTACATACTTAAAGCACATATATTTGAATAGTGCAGTCGTAGCCGTTGTCGTCAATGTAATATATATATATATATATGTATATATACACGTATATTTGGTGGGTGAAGTGACCGTTAATGACGACGTTCTTTCTTCTACTCTCTTGTCCTCTACTCTCTTATTTTGTTATGTCCTTGTACACTGATTGTGTGCGTGTGTATGCATGTGTGCGGAAAGAGCGAGAGAGAGAGACAAAGACAGAGCGGGAGCTGAGAGCGGCGAACGGGCGAAGACGAAGTGAGGGGCAAGCAAAACGCGCGCTCGAGAAAGAGAGTAAAAAGGACAGGACACCACGAAGATGGAAAGAACGAGAGGAAAAAAAATGCATTACAATCAAACGGACGATTATTTGATGCTTTACCGTTGGTCGTCGTTCGGGTGTTGGTTGGTGATGGTGACGACGTTCTCTTCTCTTCTTCCTTTCTCGCATTACATTTCACAAGTTATTCACAAATAATATCATAATTCCAAACAATCTTTTTCATATTTTACTACAGATTGTATGAAATAATTAGTGAATTGTGTTACTCTCTCGCTCTCTTTTTTGCGTTGTATGCAACATCTGGTTTGTCCAGCCACATAACGTTGTCTGTTCTTCTTACTACCACCCGATTTTTTTTTTCGCCGTTCTTCTTTTTCTCCATGAAAAGACCAACGACAGCGACATACAATGTAACAACAATCCATTTTCTTTCATGATGATGATCATCATCATCATTGTCGTCGTCGTCAGATTTTCGAGAGCATACAGCACGTCCATCGAAAACGTGTTGAGTATGCATGATTAGATGTGTATTATATTCCATGCGTATTCATATATATATGTATATACATCTATATCTCATAATGTTCTTTGATAGAATTCTAAAATATATACTATCAAGGTCAAAATGACCGACAAGAAGATGTATATAAAATATCATTACATTTCTTATTAAAGAATATTTGTTGCTTATTAAGAAAAAAATAAAGAAAACGCTTCAACGAACGGACATAATAACGATGATGAAAGAGAAATTACCTTCTCCTTCGATTCACTGTTTGATTGGCCTTGTTGCCCGATCTAGTTGGCCTTTTGTATGTGCAACTCGTGCTCTTTTTCTTCTTACTCTTTTTTTTTTTCTCTTTCTTCAACCACGCCGATGGTCGATAGCAATGGTGAAGTAATCCATGTAGATTAAATCAACATGAGTCGAACGAGCGAGCGAGCGAGCGAGAGAGAGGAAAAGGGAAGGCTCGACCAACACAAGCGAAGAAAGATAGAGAGAGAAATATCAAGACCGAGCAATGCAACTAAGCGCATGTGCACGACGGGGACACCTTCTATAGCCTTGCTTTGCATGTCTGTCTCTGTTTTCTCTCCTTTCTTTTTCTTACTTTACTCAATGCCTTTCGGTCTTCGATGACGGCGACAACATACACGCACATGCATACACACATAACGCACCAGCCGCCCAGTGTCTTGAACGCAATAAGAGTCTAAGTAATGGCGGACGAGCAAAACTTTTTTTCCTCCCGGTTTTTTTCTCTTCATACTGATCTACTCGTCCGACGTTGACGCACAAATGCGAAGGACAACTCAACAAACACACACACACACACACGCGCATAGGATATAGTGAGAGGATAAAGACAGAAGCAAACTAATCACGTAATCTACGCAAATGCAAACGCACTCGTGCGGGCATTACATTGAACGCCAATGGCCTTTCGTAAGAAAAAGAAAAAAAACGAGAGAATAAGAGTAGCAGCCTGTCGGTGTCGATTACAGATGAATACAAAAAAAAAAAAAAGAGAAAATGAGAGTGAACACAAATGTCGACATCATGTAGTTATATATGGGTGAAGTCAAGGGCATTATCGTTTTTTATAATGAACTTCTTTTCGCACACTTCAATATTGACCATCACTTAACATGATTCAATGTAAAATAAAAAATCAAATATTAAATGTTAGTATGTTTGACAAAGATATGATCTAATATGGACATTGCCCATTAAAATGATTTATCAAAGAATAAATTATTATAAAATGACATCATCATAAACATGATTTTATGAGATCAATGAAAGAATACGTAATAGACAATCATAAATATACATACAATCACTACAAAAGTTAATTAACTAAAATCATCGAACAGATTTCAACATTTTTTCTAAATCAATAATTTATTTTCGAAAGAATTATATATCAAACATATTGACGAATTTTGCAAAATTCTCAAGCAGATAAATTGTAATATATCAAAACATTAGTTTAACGATTTTTGATAAAATCAGATTAGTTTTATATTTGAAGAAAGTTAGATATATATATATAACAACTTGAGAAATAATTGAAATTGAACCAAAATTTTAGATAGATATTATTAAATGAGAGCAAATGTGTACATAATATCTATTTGTCATTAATTTCTTCTTCAGCAATACAATCTAATTGATTGAACTCAGCTGTTTGCCTATAGATGCTAAAGATTGACAGATGGCGTAATTCATCAATGATTGTTTTGTCCTAATTAAGACGCGATCATTTTTAATAATTGAATATTTTCTTAGATAAAATCTTTTAGAAGTCATATAAACAATGATTAATATATATATATAAATTTTATTCAAGAAAATTTTGTACATAATTTAGATAGTCAGTTTTTATTTCAACATAAGAAAGGTCTATTGATTATTGATGTATGATACCTAAAAGTTCACTTGAATATGATATAATCTCCAAATTTTTCATGAATCAAGGTAAAAAAGAAGTTGATTTAAGAAACTTTAAGGTTTTAAGAATCACAATAGAAATTTTTTTACCTAAAGGTCAATTAGACCTGACATAAGTTCTATAAGTATTACTTACGTATTTGAAAATAAGAAGAAACTTTTGTTTTAAAACAAAATAGTCTTCATTAAGATGCTCATTATTTAAACATGCCAATGCTACACAAGTATTTTTAATAATGTTATTTTCTCATCTATGAGCACGTCTAAAAGTTTCAAGATTACATATTTATCTTCTGTCATTGGACTAACGTAATACAATAATCTTTAGCCTTATTTTATCTTTATAAATAGACATCTTCATCAGTACATATCTAAACATCTATTTTTTAAAAAGCATATATAATCTGTTCATGAAATATATTTTACATAAAACTCTTACAAATATCAGAGTTAATATTCTACAAAAACAAATATTCTTTTAAAATTAAACATAAAAATCAATTATCATCAAGAAAATAAAGTTTTCCTTCGATGTATCTAACTGATATATATATGTATATATTATATATACTTAACACAAAAAATAAGCTTTACATATTCTATCGTTTATTAAAAAATTTGTTAAACAAAAACGATGCTTGAGAAAAATAATCACTTGTTAAACTGCTGTTGTTCGTGGTTCAAAATAAGCTGAAGCACGTTTCTTTTTTTGATTCAAAATTCGTTCAGTTATTGTACCACTATTAGGTAAATGTGACATAGAAGCATGTAACGAACGAAGTGTTATTGAACCTGATAATGGTCGTTGTTTTTGTTGATTAGATCCATTACTTACATGATTAATATGTTCAAAATTAATTGGTCCTGATATATCTGATTTTTTAACTGTACGAATTTTTGATAAACTTCGACAACGACGTAATTCATATTGTTGTTGTTCTTGTTCTTTATCTTGTTTACTTGATATTGTTCTTAAACGCGAATAACGACGTGGAACTTCTTTATTATTATTATTATTGTTATTATTTTGTTTTTGTTGTTGTTGTGGAGTACTACTATCAGCTGGTAAGGGTGGTGGATTTGCTAAATTCATACGTCGTTCATATTCTAATATTTCATAATAATGTCGAAAAAATAATCGACAAGCATCATTACGATCAAATTTAAATACAGCAAGCATATTCGATTCTGGTAACCAACATGTAATGTAATTTTCTTTAGGTAAACGTAATTCGGCTTTATCTGATATTAAACTTGACCATACGGCAAAACAACTTTCAGGCTGAGCAAGCATTAATCGAACTTGTCGTGTTCGTTTTAAATTAGCACCCTATATGAAAGAATTAATTTCTATTATTTAATATACATATCAAAACACAAACTGTATTATAAATCCATATAGGAACACCAACTTGTTGACATGACCAATCTTCAAAATTAGCTAATTGCCGTGTTGTTGTTATATAAAGATGAGCAATTGAACGAGCTGATTTAACTAATGTTCCAACACTACCATAGAACATTTCAAGACGTTTAACATCAACAATAATCGTATTTTCATCATTTTGTTGTTGTTGTTGTTGTTCATTTTCATGTGATGATATTCGTGATGAAAGTTCATTAATACCAATAATCGATGACGATGTTGATGTTGTTCTTGATGAACGATGAGATGATCCACGCTTATCGGTACTAATCGATGAAAGTCGCCGTGGTGCAATAGGTGGTTGACTATTTATATTATTGTTTGATACTGTAGGACGAATTCGATACATAACAGATGATGTTGAAGATGATATTGATGCTGGTGGATGTAATGAACGTGATGAATTATGATGCTGAAAATTGTTCAATGTCATGTCAGAAGTTTTACTTTCATTATTATTATTATCGCTGTTCAGTTGAGTATAGGATCGTTGATGAACCATCGGTTTAACAATACCAACTACAGCTTTAGTTTCATATCGTTGACGAAGATCATTAACATGAAATGATGAAGGACTTTGGGAAATTGAATCACAAATAATTGTTGATTTAGGCCGATCATAATTAGATAAGTACTGTGATAATGGTTGATAACAATTAATATAGTCTGGTGTATGTACTTGTTTAGATTGTTGTGAATAAGGAAAATAAACTGATGAAGAAATTTCTACAGCTGTAGGTTCATGTGATGGTAAATTAATAGTTGTCGGTGTATCAAGCGACCAACGGCTGTGGTCTACACGAAATGGACGAGCTGACCTATTTGTATAGGGAGTTATACGAGAATTATTGTACATTATTTACTTGTTACATCTAAAAAAAATTAAAATAAAATATAAGAAATATTTCTTGTAAAAATATTAAATATCTATATAAACTAGTTCAATGAAATCAGTAGATATATTACTTAAAAGATAGTTTATTAACATTGTACCATCATGAATTATGTAAAAAAAACGAAAGGACATAAATAGACATATGACACCAACTATCACATCAACATGGCAATCGATTCAAAGGAAGAACTTCCTTGACACATCATCTCATACAATGCATATGTGTACATAAGGGAGCAATAGATTAGACAAAGGCAAACTACGATGATTTTTGTATAGAAGCATAGTCATGTAGTATACCATTAAAGACAAAATATGTTTATAACGCTCCTATCAAGAATGACTGGTCAAACTAAATATGTTCAATATACATGTGCACAAAAAAAAAGAAGAAGAAAGAAGACGAATAATACTTTATCAATGTGACATACTCGATAACTGGTTTTTGTTTGGCACATTCATATGAGCATAGCAATTGACCATGCATGGACTGCTGAACATCAATATAACTATTGTATTCATTTTTTTTACGCTTGTGTCTAAGTAGACACAATACAACTCAAAAATACATTGTATAAGTACTTAACGAAGATAATAGTGTTCTTTGTTTCTTTCTATCTATCTTTGTTTCTTTCTTACTCGTTTTTTTCTTTTCCTGTCTATTGTTTTTTTGATGATAAACTACAAATGAAGATGTATGAAGAAAAGAAAAGAGAAGGAGACGAAGAAGAAGAAGAAAAA